GTACTGGGCACCATAAAGTTTATTTGAGTGCAAAAATATACATGAAGTTGTCAAAAGGGAGCATTTGGCACCATGCCGTTAACGTCCGTCAGTTTACCGTTAGAGGGGTCCAGAAAGTCAGTTTTAAGGTGCATTTTTAACAACAAAGTTTGCATCAAAGGGCATTAGGCACCATGAAATTTACTTGGGTGTAAAAATATACATGAACTTTGTAAAAAAAAAAAAAAAACAAAATTCTTCAACCTCCATAAACATCCATTAATTTTATTCTTTTTGGTTTCACCAAATGCTATATTTTCTCTCTATAAATTTTCACTTCCAAGCCGATCCATCTTTCTCTCATTATAGTCAACATGCACACTCTCTCTATCATGTTGTTTTCTGAGCCTCCAAGCCTTTTATATGTATTTAAGCAAAACACATCTTTCCCTTCTAGGATATAAGGTTCATTACTTGCACCCGAGTACTACCTCCAATCCTTAATATAGGATCCAATGGACTAATTTGAGGAGATTAAAATAAATAAATAAATTACTTTAAATATTATACTATTTATTTCTTTGACGCAATAGTATATAGTACATGATCTCTCTAAAATATTTATATGCATCATTAAATTATATATTAGTTTACAACTCAAGAAAATTAATTTGGAGAAAAAACAATAAATATAATATTTTAAAGTAATTTATTTATTTATATTTAATCTCCTCAAATTAGTCCATTGTATCCTATATTAAGGACTGGAGGTAGTACTTGGATGCAAGTAATAAATCTCATATCCTAGAAGGGAAAGATGTGTTTTGCTTAAATACATATAAAAGGCTTGGAGGCTCAGAAAACAACATGACAGAGAGAATGTGCGTGTTGACTATGATGAGAGAAAGATGGATCGGCTTGGAAGTGGAAATTTATAGAGAAAAAATATAGCATTTGGTGAAACAAAAAAGAATAAAATTAAAGGATGTTTATGGAGGTTGAAGAATTTTGTTATTTTTTTCCTTTTACAAAGTTCATGTATATTTTTACACCCAAGTAAATTTCATGGTGCCTAATGTCCCTTGATGCAAACTTTGTTGTTAAAAATATACCTTAAAACTGACTTTCTGGGCCCCTCTAACGGTAAACTGACAGACCTTAACGGCATGGTGCCAGATGCTCCCTTTTGACAACTTCATGTATATTTTTGCACCCAAATAAACTTTATGGTGCCCAGTGCTCTTTCGGGTAAACTTTGTTGTTAAAATTGCACCTTAACCCTAAATTATAAACAAACTGTAGCTTTATCTAATTTCGCAAAATTCTCGATTTATAATTTTTCAAGCCTTCAAAAATTATTTCAAAAATATATCTTTAACTTATTCCATATTTAAACCGATTAAAACCTCAATAATGTATTAAATAACTCAAATAAATTATTTAACTCAAATTTAATCGGTAAAAACATATTACAAGTCTAAATAACAAATTTTTCAACTAAAATCTTAGTTTAAAATTCTCAAAATAATCATTCAACAAAAATAAACCGATTAAAATTTCTTAATAATGGATCTTTAAATTTGTACAGTCATATATTGTCAAAACTCCATATTTACTCCATACCCAAACAGTAAAATTTTCTCTAAACATTATAATGATACTAATAATATAAAGCTCTAAATATATAGAAAATATTTATAAAGGAAATTTGATAGAAAGAAGTAGTTTTGTGTACCTAAATAATCCCCAAAACTTGTCAGGTGCTCTGCAACTTAGCTTTCTCTCTCTTTTCCTCTATGCTTCTCACTCTCTTCTCTCTTCCTTCGCTCTCTCTTCCTCTTCCATCTCTTCTCCCCCTCTTTTAAACTCACTTCTCCAACTTCCAACTATCCCTTCTCCCATTTTCTTCATTTATTTATTGTTTTTCCAAAAATTCTTCCTTCAACCGTTCCTTTCCTTCTTTTCCTTCCTCTATTTAATACTCCTTCCTTCTTTTCAACTTACACTTACTACATCTCATCCCATTTTCTTCAACCGCCCCTCTCTCTTTTTTTCTTTTTCCTTCTATGTTCATTAATAACCCCCCTCCTTTTTCCACTGTCGGTGGAAAACGATGGGGTGGTTTTTTTTTAAATTAAAAAATAATAGTATGTTACAGAACTCATATGTTAATGGAACTGATAAGATTTGTTATGGCAATGACTACATTATTGTGAAGCAAATTAAATTAAGTGGGTTGTGGGATTTACTACACTTCATAATGGAATTGACTATGTTTCTTTCGATAATGATTAGATTATTGTGAAGAAAATATAGTGTATTAGATGACTACAAAGTGATGTTTTTGCAGGAAGGAAAAATGATATTAGAAGGAGAGCCAAGCAAAGAAGTGAAGAGTGGATGCATATTATTTCGAAAGGAATTTCTTGGGTCGGGGAAGAAGTTTAAGAAAAGTATTGTACAGACAAATGCGTTATCCAACTATTATTGTGATATTTGACTTATGGTTGTAGATAGAATTTGTTTACAAAAATATATTTAATCACTATTATTGCACATTTATTGATAACAAGTGCAAATTATGTTTACCTTTGGGTGTCATTATAATGAATGTAGCTTTCAATAGCATTTGCAAAGTGATTAACAACTTTCAAAGTGAATATACCAATTTCTATAAGGTGTTGCACAATCTCTTTATTTGTAATCATTTATAATCCATTTGCACATAATTTTACTAAACATATAATAAGAATAACAACTTGTGAAACAAAAGTAACTATTTGTATAAAGAGTTTTACAATTTATTATAAGCTATTTGTAGCCAGTTTTACAAAACAAGTAAAAGGAATCACAACTTGCATAATGCAAGTTGCCAATTATATTAGGAGATTTGCAACTTGTTTCTTTGTAACTATTTTTAATGCTTTTACCCACAATTTTACTGAATATATAGCGAGAATAACAACTTATGAAATGAAAGTGACCATTTACATCATGAGTTTTACAACCTGTTTTAATCAACGTGTCAGTATGTGAAAATATTCAACCGTTTTTTCTTTTTCTTACTCCAAGGGCATATTAGTCATTCTACCAAAATTTGCAAATCCAAAATTCATACCTTATGCCTATTTGGTCATTTCATTTATCTGGATCATTTTTTTGTCCTTGTCAATTTCAGTGAGTAACTTTTTGGCATTTTTCTGTTATTTTTCCTTTAAAAAAAGCCTAAAAATGTGAATAACAAGTTTAACCTAAAATATAAATTTACAATCAGTAGTTATAATTAAAACTAAAATAGCAAGTACTACCTCAAATCTTAATTATAAGATTTCATTCGTAGTCTATAAATGATGTCCTATAATTAAGATTGGATGTAGTATTATAAATATGCAAACATTTACTAGTTTGCTTACACAAATAGCCTCCTTAGCAAACTCATCAACAGCTTCTCACTTTGGTTATGTGAAAGGTATTAGGGATATGCCAAGTTAATTAGTCAACATTCTCCTCTTTTTTGTTGAAAACAAATATATAGATTGCCATTATTTTTCTGATGTAAAACAGAAAGGAGAAAGGGGAAGAGAAGGGAGATCAGAGAAGAATATTAGAGAGAAAGGGAGAGCAGAGACGAGAATGGGAGTAGAAGAAAACTATCTAATACGTTCAATAAAGCCAAATCTGCCAACATGATAGAAACCTAGGGTACTTATAACCTAATTTTAAATAAAATAATTAAAATGCAAAATCAATAAGTGGGTTAGTGGGTAGTTAACAAAATAAAATAACTAACAAAAGAAAATTAATTAATTAAATCTGCATTATTCCCCCCCGATTCAAAGAACTCGCCACTGGAGAGTTAGAAAGCTGGTAGCTGTCGAGGAATCCACACGATGAAACTCATCCTCGGTGAGCCATGTAGTGTTTGAATCAGGATAGCGTTTCCAATGAACGAGGTAATGACTGATGGGACCTACTAGAGTTAGAACCGTTTGCTCATCCATCACAGCGTCAATGGCTTCCACAGGAGGCGCAACTCTAGGCACGGGTAGGGTTGGGGCCTGGTGAGTCTGAGTAATTGCAAAGTCATCAAAACACAAAGGGGGCGGCTTGAAAGTGCCCCGATAAAGAACAAGATCCTCAACATTAAATACTGGACTAATAGACATATCTAGAGGTAACTCTAATAAATATGGATTGGGCCCTAACTTCTTGGAAATGCAAAATGAGCCAGAGGCACGAGCGTGCAACTTCTTGTAAGGCCTCTTTGTGAAACAGTCAGGCCTTAGACGAGACACGACAAGGTCGCCAACATTGAACTCCTAGTGACGTCGATGGACATCAGCAGCTATCTTATACTTGTTATTATTTAAAGCTAATTTACACCTAACCTCATCATGAATATCGTGAAGGCGATGTGCAAAGGTCTCAGCGGACCCAGAAGGGCGAGTAGACAGGGAAAGGGGAAAAAGGTCAACAGGCTACTTTGGGTTGTGACCCTGGATAATTTGGAATGGGCTTTTGCTAGTGGATCTATTGATCGAGTTATTGTAAGCAAATTCAGCTATAGGCAAGACTAAATCCCAGTTACCAGGCTTATCGCCAACTAAACTAAGGAGCAGGTCATCTAAGCTATGGTTAGTCACTTCAGTTTGAGAGTGGAAAGCAGACAAGAGCTTCAATTACGTACCGAAGAGCTTCCAGAGGGTCTTCTAGAAATAGCTGACAAACTTGACATCCCTATCAGAGACGATAGTGGTAGGCAGACCGTGAAGACGCACAACCTCTCGAAAGAAAAGCTTGGCCAGATGTGATGTATCAATAGTCCTACTACATGGGATGAAATGTGCTATTTTCGAGAATCTATCAACCACAACCAAGACAGAATTGTGCCCTTGCACTGCCTTTGGCAACCCAAGCACGAAATCCATACTAATGTCCTTCCATGGTGCCTGAGGAACAGGAAGAGGCGTGTACAACCCAATATTCCTCTTCTTTGCCTTTGTTGTATGGCATGTACGACACTAGGAAAGGATTCGAGCAACATCATGCTTAAGGGAAGGCCAGTAGAACCTGTCTTCAACCATGGCCGTAGTCTTCTGAATACTGAAGTGTCCAGCTAGTCCCCCCGCATGTAATTCCCAAACAAGAAAATCACGCAGTGACATGAGGGGAATACACAACCTAGACCCACAGAACAGATAGCCATCATCGATCAGGAAATTCACATGATCTTGGCGGTTGCCATCTTTAACCTCATCATAAATGATGCCAAAGTCAAGACACGAAGTGTACTCGTCCTTGAGCCTATCAAATCCCATGACATTAACCGTTAAGGTGTTGAGAACGTGGATTCTTCGGCTAAGAGCATCAGCTACCTTGTTCTCTACCCCTGGGCAATGCTTGACCATAAAGGTAAATTCCTAAATGAACTCACTCCACTTAGCATGTTAGGCATTCAAATGCCGTTAGGAGCTAAGGAACTTGAGAGACTGGTGGTCTAAGTAGATGACAAACTGTTGGGAGAGGAGATAGTACTTCCAATGCTCTAAGGAGCAAACAATGGCATAGAACTCCTTGTCGTACGTGGAGTACTTTTGCTTGGCCTCATTAAGCTTCTCACTGAAGTAGGCGACAGTGTGGCCTTCTTGGCTTAAAATGCCTCCAATTCCAATCCCAGAAGCGTTACAAGCAGTTTCAAAGCACTTGTGAAAGTCAGGTAAAACCAGAATGGGAGCACTCAAGACTTTCTCTTTAATAGTGCTGAAAGCTTTAGAGGCTGTAGGAGTCCACTTGAACTTATCCTTCTTCAAACAGTCAATAATTGGAGACATAAGGGTGCTAAAATCTCTGATGAAACACGGATAGAAGAATGCTAGCCCATGAAAGCTGCGTGCTTCATGCAGTGTCTGTGGTTCTGACTAATCTTGGATGGCTCAGACTTTTGCAAGTTCTGTGACCAAGCCTTGTTCCGAGATGATGAATCCAAGAAACGTACCTTGATTTTGCAAGAAGGAGAACTTTGGTAGGTTAAGATAAAACTTTTCCTTCCAAAGGGTCAAGAGCACCTCTCTAAGGTGATGCAAATGGTCATCTATGGATTTACTGAAAACCAAAATGTCATCAAAATAGACAACCAAGAACTTTCCTAAATAAGACTGCAATATATGCGTTATCACTCGCATAAATATGCTCGAGGCGTTCATTAAGCCGAATAGCATAACGAGCTACTCGTATAGTCCATCTTGCGCCTTGAATGTGATCTTCCACTCATCTCCTGGTCTGATGCAAATCTGATGGTAACCACTACGAAGATCGAGCTTGGAGAACTACTTGGATCCAAACACCAAATCAAGGATGTCCTCTAACCTAGGGATCAGGAACTGGTACTTGATGGTTATCTTGTTGATGGCTCGACTATCAACACACATTCTCCACGAGCCATCTTTCTTCAGAGTCAGAAGGGCAGGGACAACGCAAGGACTGAGGTTATGCTAGATGTAGCCCTTTCAAGCAAGCTGTTAACCTGTCGATTGAGCTCTTCCTAATCTTTAAGGTTCATCTTATAGTGTGGAAGGTTGGGGAGCTGTGATCCTGGAACCAAACTGATCCCATGCTGGATGTTCCTCATGGGTGACAAGTCAGGAGGTAACTCCTCAGGTGCAACATCCTTAAACTCGTCCAAGAGTTGGGTCACCTCTTTTGGAAAGTTGTCAAGTGTTAGTGCAGGAGGAGAAATGACCTTGGAAACAATGGCAAGGATGACATTAACCTCTCTACTTTCTTCGATAAACTGCTTCTCTGTTAGGAGGTGAAGGTTAATGCACTTAGATGTGGATCCTTTCATGGGGGCAGGACCATTTGCTTTGTACTCAGGCTTCGCAGGATGGAGTAAGATGGTCTTGCTCTCATACTTGAAGATGTGGTTGTTTGCTCAACCCTGGATAGTGACATCATGGTCATATAGCCACGGGTATCCTAAAAGAATATGAGACACATCCCCAAGGATCACCACAATCAAAATGTCTTCCTTATAGTCGCCTAAATAGAGTGGGACACGACACACTGCTGAGTGATAAGCAACGAAGTGTTGTCGACCCATGCAACACGGAAAGGCTTAGCAATTGGCTCTGTCTTGAGTCTAAGACGAGCGATACCTCGAGTAGAGATCACGTTCCTTTCACTTCCACTGTCAATAACCAACTTGTATGACTTGTCACTTCACAAAGGTGTGAAAGATGTTGTTCCGTTTCTAGGAGTCATCTGGTGTTGGGACAGTCAAGAGACATCAAATCACTCCTAGATGGCCTGATGGCATTTCATCACAATTAATCTCTTCATCCACATAAGAAGGAATATCGACAGGGTCAACGACTACATCTGGCACGCTTTTGAATAGTGCATCATCTTGAGATTCGATAAGCAATGCACGTTATGGGCACTTTGAAGCGATGTGTCCCTTAGAGTGACACTTGAAACACTCTATCGATGAGCTACTCGTGCGAACATTTGAGGCTGATGACTCTCTCAATCTTGAAGCACTTGGCCCTGAAAGTTGTTGACTTACCTGTTGATTGGCTGAGGTAGCGAAGCTGCGAGCGGGACAAGACTCTAATCCTGAGAAGCTGGGATACCTGAAGGAGGGATATTTAGGTAGAGAGTCAATCTTGATAGCCTTATGATATGCTTCCTCTAAACTGTAGGGGCGGTTTACTCTGAGCTCCCTCTATATGTCATCCCTAAGGCTGTTGATGAATCTCTCGATAATGACAAAACTCGGCTCATTTAAGTCGTTGCAAATCAGAAGGTCATCATATCGAGAGACGTAGTCGGCTGTCTACAAGGTTCCCTACTTGAGGTTATTCAATTGGTTGAAGAGAGTGCTCAAGCGGCTGATTAGCACGTACTTTTCCTTAAGCTTCAGCTTCATCTCCTCCCAAGTCGTGACGGGAGGTTGCCCTAAGTATTTGAGGTTAGCTTGGACATGCTGCCAATACTTCTGTGCAGATCTAACGAGCTTCATCTTGGTAAAGTGAATGCACTGTATGTCACTCATATTGTACTCCTCGAAGTAGTTGTCCATGTTGGCTAACCAATGGAGGAAGGCATTCGCATCTAATCGACCATCAAAGTTAGGTGCCTCAACCTTAATCCTCTTCATCGCATCATCATTATAGTATTGTCGAGGGGTGTCTCGTATCGCCTAGGTGGCG